ATCATATCATAGAAATCGCCTCGATTTGAAAGTTATAACAAGAACCTTATGCTAAACTGTGGAAGTGCTAATCAGCAGATAGAACAAGACTTTCATGGGTAATTAAACCAATCTGGAGATTTTCAGTCTAGGAAGTTTAGGAATTTTCTATCAGTAAAACTAACGACAACTTCATTAAGCATTCTATTTGGTAAATAATTTTATTCGCTAATTCACTTACAAGTTAGTAAACTATTCTTTGAAATTTACAGTAGTTATATTCGCATCTGCACTTAACTGCATAATAAATTTACAATTTAAAAGTTTTCATGCGTCTTAAATGACAAATCCATGTTATTAAGAAATTAGTCGCACTAATTGCCTCATTTTTGTCTATTCATTTGTCCTTTGTTTTTTTTAAGTCTTCAATAAATTACATGCCTTTGCTTAAATGGTCACGAGATTTAATGAGATGTATCTTTGAATTTGATTTTTATTTAACTCAGGAAATTTTTAGTTTGTGATTGTTTTTCTTTAATTGATTTTAACGTTTCTGAATTTTACTATTAAGCATATTATTCTCTGTATTTGTGTTTCTAGTGACTTTAGATCATCTTGAACTATAAATAATACTATTAGCCTAATCATTCGGCATTGATTGGAAAACTTTAATGAAAATGCTGTAATAAGAAAAAATTTTATTATGGCTACATAATGATGTTTAATGTGCAATCCATAAAAGCATATCCAGTGATAACAGGAATTCTTTTAGACAATTACAAAACTATGTAAACGTCTTCTCAAACTTGAAAATAAATAAACAATAAACTCATTGGAGTAGAAGATTTTTTTTCAGCAAGAAGTACTGAAATATGGAAATGGATTGTAACACGCTGTTTCTGGCATGTACGAAAATATCTGTGTTCTTTGCCTTGTAAAAATAAATTGATTTACTGATAATTTTATAATTTTAAGAACTAATTAAATCAGTGAAACAAATAAGTTCCACTATTATTCTTCCATTTTTCTAAGAGATAGAAAATAATTTTAATTAAGACAATCACATAGAGCCGCCACAAAAGATGCGATTCATAAATATATAGTATATATTATAGTATTTTTCTATTTGGTCATTTCATATTACCTCATTATTAGTAAATTTTCCAATAAATCAGAATCTTTTCTTCTTATGTCACTAACGAAATCGTTATTCAACAGACTATTATGATTTGAAGAGAACACAAATAATAATAGTAAGTTACATGAATGAATAAAGCAGAAATACTCAGTCAACCAAATAATCAAACACAATATGATAATGATGATCTTACTGATTCATTCACAAGGAAACATTAAGATGACATAACCGATTTATTTTTAACTTTATAATAGGAAAATGTTGACAAAAAATAAGGAAATATAGTAGGATACACATTTTACTTCAATTATAGGACTGTATTTAAAATTAAAATGTAGATCAGATTTGCACAAATTTAATGAAAACAATAAATATATATTAAACTTAACTAATAATTTTCCCAATAATAACATCGGTTAATTTGTGTTCGAAACATAAATGTATTTCACAAGCAAATAATATCCTTTAGTTCTTTATCATGCAAACAAAATTTATGCAAATAAAAACATTAAATTATGGAATTCTGTTTCCTTGTACACTTCTCAAAAATTGGTATATATATAATTATACTAATATATAAATATATAAATATATTATAAAACCTTTAGTAGT